TCATTTAAAAACCTGGATAAAACCCACTAAAATTACTGAAAATAATTTTTTTGGCAAATCATTCATGACCAAGTGCTTCAGAAGAAAACTTTCAGTATTTTGCATTTAATTCTCTAAAAAATATACTACTAATAAAAAAACCAGAAAGTTGGGGGGTTTTTTAATTTACATTTTCTGTCATGCAAACTAGTTTAGATCTCACTTTTTATTTTGTAAAGCTTCTATTAAAGGACTTGTTCAAGGCAGACAATTTAAAAGTGACAACAAGACAAAACTACAAATCAGTGACTCTGGGCTAAAATATTTAATATGGAATACTGATTCCTCCCTGGTTGCTATGTCAATGCAGTTGAACAGCAATAAAATAAAGCTTAAAAAAAGCAAAAAGGTATAATTATGACAACACTTCAGACAATAAAATCCACGTGCTCTCATACAACATGTTCACTATATTAGCCAATTAAAGCCCACCTACCTTCACAGATCCATACTCATAATCAGATCCCTGAAGCAAATGCAGAAGAGATACCATAAAAATATTTACAGTTGCCCACGATTTGTACATTGTGATGTTTAAGATCCACCAATTACTACGCAGTTGATATCATACAGCTGGAGGAGTCCGTTTTGAAATGCATTTCTCTATTAATAGTTTTTTAACAAAGCTTCCAGATTTTCTGTTTTCAATCCAAACAACATTTGCAGGGGTGAAGTAAATAACTGTTTTATCATCCAACACAGTTATAATTTACCTAGCTAATATAATTTATAGAGTATTTTTAGATCAGTTGAAATAAATTGTTAAAGGTTATTTTAATTATACCTATTCTTACAAGAAATCAAGTACAGGTTCCAGTTAATAAAGTTAATGTAGTTCTACCAGGACCCACGGAAGTATTGAAAATTCACTTATAGTCCAGAAAATTTAAAAATCTGCTTTATTTGTGCTCTGTGTTACAGCAGCCTGTTAAGATGGTAGTATAACGGCCAATGTTTTGAGCTACAGAGAGCTGTAATCCAACTCTGTATTAAAACTTTTTTCACAACCTTCATGGAAGCTTGCAGAAGCATGTGTCTTAAATCTGATACAGACTTTGGCAGAAACACAGTCAAATTTTGGCTCTAACCCCATTCTGTGTCTACCAATAGCATAGCAGTTTTAAACTAACTGATGCAATCTAGACTGCCATTATTTTAAAGAAGATTACCTGAAACATGAAACTTCAGCACACTTTCTTACACAGCACACATATTACAAAGCTAGTCCTTTAAAAAAAAAAAAAAAAAGGGACAGCATACCGTCTTGTATATTTTTTGTGACAAGGGATTTGCTGGATGGAGTTTCACAAAGAAAAGTAACTAAACATATTTTAAAGAAACAGGCTTTTTAAAAATAAGTCTATGAAGATGCAGCTATAAAACGAGTAAATGTGTTTTTATTTTGAGCAGAGCAGAAAAATGCTTTTGCATGAAAACAAAAAACAGCTTTAATGCTTTTTTAAAGCTATATATGTAAATATATAGAGAGTACACCAAAATGCAGATTTAACACTCAGGAGCTTAATTACAGTTACAAAATTTGATATTTATGTATATCAAGTATATATTGCTGATCTACTCTAGTAAAACTTCATTTAAGAGAGAAGTTTCAGTAAGTCAATCAGACTACTCCTTTTTATAAGGTTGGCATGATCATAGACTACTAATGTTAATATATAACTCAGTCATCCTCTTAACATTGAAGATCACTGGTTTCCAATCTTTGCTTCCATGTGGTAGCTCTCTCAAAGCCATTTTTTGCCTTGCTGTAATCATCAAAGATGTGGGCAGAATAGGAAAGCCTGTTTCAGTGCAGTGATTGTTCCCCTCATCTCAAAAAATAAACCCCCCAAAATTGCATTTCATATTGAGCTCAAACTGTATATGTTTTTCAGATTATTTCAAAATATTTGGAAAATCCAATCCTCTCATTTTCTAGACATAGTCAATAAAATCACCAGGCTGGACTCACAAGGGGACTTGGGATCCATTTACAAAGCCACCAAGATGGCATTTGAAAGATGGGCCCATGCCATATGAGCCAGTGGTTAGGACCCTCCCTGTAGCTCATTTAAGATCCTCTCTGTACCTCAGATTAGAATGGTCTCCTGAGTTACAGGAAAGCTACATTCATGTCTACTCTTGCCTCAGTTAGAGCTAGTATTTGAAGCCAAGTCTCCCATGACTCCTGGGCTAGGGTAACTTGGGTGTCATAATCTCATCTATGGCAATTATCCAGTGAATAAAAGTAATCAATGAAGCCTAATCACTGGCTACTGAGTCAATCTCTCTAGTCCCATGACTATTTAAAGAGTATTGGGCACATGAACAAGTTACTGCAAGAAAAGCTACAGTAGGTCTGGCAGATGGTATTCCAAGGTAACTGCCTGTGTGCATGCCTCACCCTGCAAGGAATGCCAGGCAATTTACCCCTTAATGAGGGTAGAGTTAGCTACCTCACATGTGCCATAGGATAAATTCACATTGTGGCTTACCTCACAACAGTTTTTTCTGTTGGCTCATACCCATGGTATTTATACAAAGTAGAACAACAACAATGGTGGAGTAAGACAGACACTGAGTCCTATGCATGGGTGGTTAAGACACCATCCAGAGAATTGGGATACTGTTGGCCAAGTCCCTACTCTGAAGCAGGGAAAGAAGTTATTCAAACTTAATATCTCACATCCCAAACAAAGCTTGAAACCACCAACCTATCAATGAGGCTGGTACTTCTCCTATGTAAGTCCCTTACTGAATCTATACGAAAAAATCATACCTGTTTGTTCTGGAAATTACAACAACTACATCAACATTTCCAAAGTTTATATTTTTTTTCTTAATTTTTATTTGGCCAAAACCATTCACAAAATTAATCCAGTGCAAACATAGTTTTGGGCCAAACAAAACCACATCTTTCAGTGAAAGACAAAACAAAACAATAAAAGCTCAAATTGCATCCAGGTCTATTTCAATACAATTTAGTACAAAAATATGATACCATGTGCCTGGCACGAAATCTAGTACATTTAAAAAATAACATTAAATGTTGCAAGCAAATAAAATATTAGCCTGTCCCCGAAGGGTGAGACAAAGTGTGCATCTACATGAGATGCTTAATGCACCGTAAACTAATTCTACTGAGCATTAGCACATCATGGCAAAAGCCATGCTAACGCACAGTAGAATTAGTCTACTGCATATTAAGCATCATGAAAAGACCATGCACCAGTGCTACTGCACCGTAGCACCAGCTACTGCACATTTACTTAGTATGTCATATAGAGGTACTAAACTTAATGCACAGTAGCAACAGAGCATTAAAGCAGGTATTGAAGCATGCAAAGTATACTAAAGACAAAAGAAAGCCTCCCATTGATTTTAATGGACTCTGAATCAAGCTTTAAGCTCTTAATGAACAAGGACAAAGCAAAGACAGTCAGCTAAAGAAGCACAGAAATTCTGACTTAACTCATTTTCTAGGAAAAAGTTTGTCCATAATGCCTACATCAGTGGGTACCGGTCCTCTTTTTTTTCTCTATTATAGCCCTCATTCAGAACAGATTGGGTAATGGGCACCTTACCCTGGGTCCACCTTGCACCTCTCATGGAAAAGATCTCCTTTACTGCCCATCTCTAGGGTTACATGCTGTGGCCCCATACAGTTTTAAGATAGAGCTTGGTAAGTCTACATTGTGATTACATGATACAGTTGCCAGAAATAGTAGTGGTGGGGACTCAGGGACTGAGAAATCATTCTTCCATTCTAATATCCTATATTCTTATGTAGTACTTGAGCACCCTCTGCAATCACTGAATAACAATAATGAAGTCCTTAATGGCAGCCATCCAGGTCTCTCATTCTATTTTCTCTGCTTTTGAGCATGGGAGTCTTCTCCATGATACATAAGGACCAAGTAGCCATTCAATATATTAAATTAAATTCAATATAAGTCAATCATTCAATTCAATATAATATTAATATTCAATGTTCAGTATAATAAATTCAGCTCAATATAATAAATGGAGATAAGGAACAGTAGAGGCTGAAAGAAATGGGGAATAAGTCAGATGAGGAAGGAGGAATATGATTGGTAAGGGAAGGCTGTATCTGGAGGAAACATTGGGAAGTGTGGAGAAAGGACCAGAACTGATTCATGTGTTTGTGATCTAGTGCCATTAAAGTCTATGGAAAAAATATAAAAATAAATGCTTCTTTACACTGCCTGATGGGAGCAGAATCAGGACCTGGCCTTTAGATAGAGTGACTATATCCCCCGGACAGGCTGGAACAGTCCCGGATTCTGTAGGTTGTCCCTGTGCCCAAGCTGGTTGGTGTAAATTGAAGCAAAAGTCCTGGAGTCTTCTGCTTCAGGCAGTGGCAAAGGCTGCTGCCACCCACCGTGCCTGACCTTGCTCTTGCTGACCAGGGGCTGGAGGTGGAGGGTAGACTGGGCTGAGCACAGCTCCTTCTGCCTGGGGCAGAGCTTGGTCGGGGCAGGGTGGTCGGGGCAGGCCAGGCTGGGGCCAGGGCTCTGTCACCTGTGCGGGGTGAGTTGGGACAGCTGTTTGCCTCTGGCAGCATCATGCCTTGCAACTGCGGCTGCTGCTACTGCCCAGGCTGCATGTGGTGGCTCCAGGCAGCTACCAGTGGCCAGGCAGAGGGGCCACTCTTAGGCAGGTCCAGCCTCTGCATGTGGGGGATGGAGCCTGGCTGCAGGCCTCTGTACTGTCACTCCCCACCATCAGGTTTCCTGGGAGCCGCAGGGGTGTGTGTGTGTGCACGCGCATGTGTGTAAGATAGCAGATTCCCTTACCCCATCCCAGATTTCCTTAACCATTATATGGTCACACTACCTTTTGGCAGCCAAAGGTGGAACTGGATCTGGGCCATTACTTGTGATATGGGAAGCAATATGGGGATTGAGGAAGAAGAATAGCTACAGCAGCGTACTACTCCCCATTGGGCCCACATGGGTGGGAAATAGGCAGGGAGGGACAGATTAAGATTCTGCCCAATGTCTTCTCTTGCTCCTTGCCTCCCAGTAAAACCAGCCAAGCAGAGCAGAGCCTATTCAC